CTCTACCTTTTCTGGACGTTCTCGTCATTAGAGAAGAGGGTAAGTTAGGAAGAGATGTTTATAGGAAGCCGAAATATGTGTGAAAAGTGGCGATCATCTTCACTCACTTGGAGACAAAGTGTGAAAATACCAACAGTTCTGAGTCATTAGTTAGCTAATAGTAAGCAGAAATGCCCTAAAACGCGGGCAATAGTAGTTTGTTGGAAGGCCTTAACAACGGCACAGTAAAGCCCAGATAGCGAAATGTCAACACGTGATCTTAGGCAAAAATGGAGCAAGTGATTAAAGTCTATAAAGGCAAAGTATCATTAGATGCGTGTCTAATCTCGGTTCTATGAGTGATGCATGTCTCAAAATGCAATTATGAATAAAGGATTGATGGTAGAATTGTTCCCACAATAAGGCTATTGGCGTTCACGATTCTATTGGATTTCGCTTTCCCCTTGGGCAATCAGGGCCATTCTAGTGAATGTAATCTAACAGAAGAATAAAAAAGATAGCTGGAAATGGAAACCATACCAACACTCTTGGCTCATCAAGGAGCCACCGATAGGAACAATATAGCCAAGAAACAATCAAATGGTTCTTCATGTGTCCCCCTGACGCTCCGACCAAGTTGCGAAAACGAGCCCGAACCAACACTGAAAAGACCCAACGGTTAAAAGAAAAGGGGCACTGGAATAAATCAATACGAACGGTAGCAAATGGTTTGCCGAAAATAGACAAAGAGGAACCATTGAGACAGATGGTGAACAACAAACACGGAGCAACAGATAAACTGGTGAAATTTACATGCCTCAAATTAAAGAAAGTGATTGACAGATTATTGAATACAGTGAAGAATTATTGAGGATTTTGCCAAGGAATCAAAGTCGCCAGTTAGGAGGGGAGCAAATTATTGGTAGGCTTAAATGTACAGTCAGTGTACACTACTAACTCAGGACAAAAAGCCCTCACGGCACTACAATAGATCTTGGAAAGAAGAGGAGAAATCCTGGAGACGGAGCAAATCTGAAAGTTCTCAAATCTTAGCAATCAACCCAACAATAAGAACTGCCTATTTCCCATTAACTGCTTCATCTGTGAGCAAATATTTGGCCTGCAATAGGCTCATTATTCTCACTTTTGTTGGTTAATGTCTACATGAACAAGTTGGAGGAGTGAGTTGACCTCGTTGTCGCAACGTGGTCTTGTTGTCAGGGCGACTTAGTAGAACGCACCTAGTCCGAAGTCGTCTGCCATAGTATGCAACTTAAGTATAGAGTCAATGATGATATTGATAAATCTGGTAATGTAGTGTATACATTTTACCTGTAATGGTGAGCTGTGCAAATAAATATGAAGAAAAGTTGGGTTTCGAGGAATCTCTTGTTTCATAATTGTTGAGCTTACTTCCATTTCGAGTGAAAGTGTTGGGTGAATAGATTCGAAGGACGGTTCCATCAAAAGC